TCTTCAATCGGGACTGAAGCTAGCTTCACTATTCCAACATTGGAATTTAATTCATATCTTAAAAAACTGAAATGAAGAACTATTCTAGGACAGGATGATATAATCTTACAAAAAGTTGATCGCGATTGATCCAATCCAGCCATTCTCAAAAATCACATTTGGCTAATCTTCGGCAGAAAAATCAATTCTAGGTTGGAGACGATCATCCTCGATTCAAGCAGAAAAGTCCAATCACAATGGATTTCATCGTTTTCGACTGTTGCGATCAAATAGAAGGTGTCCTAATATAGGAACGAGCCTTTCTTTTTCTTTTTTTTTTTTTTTTTTTTTGGGTTTTTCCTTTTTTTGGACTTTCTTTTTCTTTTAATTTTTTTGGTTTTTCTTTTTTTTTTTTTTTGGTTTTTCATTTTTTTTTTTTAATTTTTTTGGTTTTTTTCCTTTTTCCTTTTTTTGGTTTTTCTTTTTTGGTTATTATTATTTTTTTTATTGTATTATTTATTTTTTTAATTATATAAGTTCTCGCGTCCGGCCTTCACACCAATCTCTCGTAGAACAGCCGCGTGATCATTGTTTTTGCGCGAATCGCCGAGCTCCTTTTATATCTTACTGGAACACTCGGTTCATTTTCCGGAAGTGGCGGGTTCGCTAAAGCTTCGTCCGCAATCACTTGGATTTGCGAACTCAGCCCTTTCACGATGACTCGCAAAAGGCTTAGCTCCCTCGCCAAATCCATACGCTCAGCCTTTGCCAGGTTGCTAGATGTTGATTTTAAGAATTTCCTGGCATTGGCGATCACGAACAGACCGCAACTGAACCCGTCCGTCTGGGCCTCTTGATGTTTTTAAGGAACCCATCGGACACTCGAGAGTGTCGACGGAAACAGTGCGGCAAGAAGTCGCTTCAGCCCATTCGAGATGGCGGTCTTTGACTTGCGCGAGCGGCTTCCGACCAATGAGTCATAAATGACACATTTGGCGGTCGCCACTGTGTAGGCCGCGAGCAGCCAGTGCTGATCTTGGTGCACTGGCAGGAGGAGCACCTCGCATTGCCTTCGGACTCCGGCCGTACACTCCCTTAGCATGGCGGCGACATGCTGGCCGTCCTCGTCCACCGTCCGCTCGATGACTGCTTTCGTGGCCGACGGAAGGACCACACCGACCTTGCGGCCCTGCGACTGCACCAGGTTCAAGAGCCCGGCCGTCACAGCGCCAGATGTTAAATAGGTCTGGTATCCCGTGGGCAGGTCGTCATCGGTGATGAGACCTCGCAACGCGCCCATTAATTCGGGATGAAAGTGCATCGTCTCTAAATTGGTGACCACCACCTCTTCCTGAACTTCCACAGACTCCGTCTGTCCTGACTGTTCTACGCTGCATTCCGCCTCCATCTCCTCCATTGCCTCCGGCACCTCCGTCTCCTCCGCTGCCTTCTCCGACACGACAATCAACGGTGGCCGGTCTTCCGCCGCATCGAACGCCGCCCATTCTTCGTTAGCCGTCACCAGCCTCTCCCTGCGGTCCCGACGTGCTCGATATTCCGCCAGCAACCGCATGGTGTTGTGATTACTGCAGTTGCTGGGCAGACACGGACAAGTGCTGTCGCATTGCACCTCGTCCAGAAGACAGGGGCAGGTCTCGGAGCACCCTGTTGCTTCTGAACAATGCGACGAGCACAAGGAGACGACCGGCTCCGGCTCATACATGGACTCGTCTTCCGGGCCAAAAGTTCGCTCGATTTCCTCTTGGCTGAAGACGATCGGTGGCTGCGGATATTCTGGAGCATCCTTCAGCTTCTTGAACTGGACTTCAACGAAGCCGCCCGTCGTTCGCGTGCGTTTTCGTCCAATCTTTGGACCTTAAAACCAAAATTCATAACGCGACCGGATTTTTGGATGCCTTTAAACAACTTTAAAGGCGATATCGCAGGACAGAATACACGGAAACAACACGGAAGACTGCCAAAAGAGAAACGACGATGAATCCAAAAACGAGACGAAGAAACTCGAAATCCATGTCGCACAGGTCGCCTTTAAAGTCGTTAAAGGCCATGGATGAACCGCCCAATCAACTGAGTTAATCAGAATATTTGAATCAACAACTTTTCAATATCACTATGCCCTTTTCCTTAATAATTCGCTCGTTTAATCCTATTAATTATCTCTCTTTCCCGCCCCCTTTAATTACCCGTTCCTAATTGGACAATTCGTTATAAACAGAACGGATAAGTTCGCTCCAAAAAAGCGACGCACCAAAAATGCGAAATTGTATATTGATGACTATAATTGGACCTCTAAATCCCGCCCTTTCCAATTTGATTCAATTACATTCAGATTATTGTGTTTTTCTTGTCCCAAGCCCCCAATAATAATAAAAAGTCGTTTTCTCGATGAGAAGTTGTCAATTAAGTATCGAAATATTGTCAAATTGTAATAATTCTAAAAAAAATGCCGAATTGGATTGATTTGAATTTTTGAATTATTTGTTTAAAGACGGGAGATTCGAGAAAACAACGATGAAAAATATGAAAAATATGGCACACCTTCAATAATTTCGAGGTGGACCTCTTTCACACAATCACTGAAGCATACTCGCTTCTTCGGGATCACAATATCTTCATGAGCATTCGTGCTCTTTCGCTTTTGGAAGTTCGACATCATTCTTTTTCGATGAATTTAAGCGTAATGAATAGAAATGTGCATTCCTGATAACATATCTCGATCACGTTCACAGATTCGGAAACCAATCATTTTTGTTCATTTCAAACATTTCAAATGTCGAAATCTGCATTTTAGTTTGTTGTTGAAAAAGTTTTATTTTGCGATGAGAATAATCAAAGGTATCCGACAATTTAACGATATTTTCTGATAAATTACCAATCAGATCGTGTTGATTCCGGAGACATCCGCATCCGTCGCATCCGCATCCGATGTGTCGCATCCGATTTGAGTTACCAGGAGAATGATGTCTTAATGTCATGAAAACTATACGGATTTCTGAAAAAGAGTAGCTGAACAATTAACAAACTCTATTGGCAATCTGATTGAAGAATATTCAAATTCATTGATAAAAATAACAATACGAAACATGGACTTCTCAGCCGATTGCTATTTGGTTTGTAGTCTTCCCCTTCCGCAATTTCATTGGCGATTCTTTTTGTCAGAATGTTCATAATGGTGTATGATCGTTGCTCCAAGCAACTACGGTGAACAATTGAGACCGAAAAGGTCTCTTCTGAATGTTGCGATTGTGAGATTATCTTCTATCGGTTGTCTCGTTGTGTCGGCCAATGTTCATTGACTCATACTTTTTGACTTGACTCATGATTTTTGACTCATAAAAATTGTATCATGATTTTTTATTCTTTGACTCATGATTTTTGACTAGTGATTTTTGACTAATTTTTTTTGACTAACAATTTTTGACTAATGATTTTCTGAATTTTTTTAGTTGAGATTCCTGCAGTTTTTTCAGTATTCGATTCTGTTTTTTTGGCCAATATTGATGGGTAAGAAGCTAAAGGGTGGAAGGAATTGGAAGAAATGTTATTACTGAATGGGGGAAAGATTATTACTGAAAGGAAAAAAAGTTCTTCTAACTTCTGTAAGCTTAAAAAATTGTTTTTTTTTGGCATTTCATCGCTTATCGATTTCAATGAGAAGCGTAATCCCAGCTAAGCGGATCCACCGAAGGAATCGACTGTAACATTAAACGAATATCCGTAGTAGGCCAAATGATATGTATGATTTGATATTTTTTAGTAGTCTCCGTTATTTTAATGAAAACAACTAAACACAGTTTTTATTCGATATCATTCATTATTGAGCGTGAATAAAAGAGGGAAATGGATGGAATAACGCGATAAGTGATTTTTTATTAATTTATTTTGCAAATTATTTTAGCTTATACGGTCAGGCCTGTTTTAAAACGACATAATTTTCGATTTCTCATCAAAATTCAGGAAAAACGGTATATTCAAAAAATAAGACATTGTTATACTTTGAGAAGTTTTTTGAAGGCTGTTTTGTTAGAAGTACCATTTTGATAAAGTTTTAACGGTATAATGATCTATCGAAAATTTCAATGATTGATTAATTTTAAAAGTTTTTAATAAATATGTTATCGAATAAAAACTGTGTTAACATTTCTCCCAATTCCTCCCACCCTTCAGCTTCTTACCCATCAATATTGGCCAAAAAAACAGAATTGAATACTGAAAAAACTGCAGGAATCTCAACTAAAAAAATTCAGAAAATCATTAGTCAAATATTGTTAGTCAAAAAAAATTAGTCAAAAATCACTAGTCAAAAATCATGAGTCAAAGAATAAAAAATCATGATACAATTTTTATGAGTCAAAAATCATGAGTCAAGTCAAAAAGTATGAGTCAATGAACATTGGCCCGTTGTGTCTCGAACCCATAATACTCTTTTCATCTCGGCCATCTTCGTGTAGATGATCAGCACACTCCACCTAGTTTTCCCTGATCGAAATCTTGTGAGTAGCTTGGTGAGATCCGGTATAATGACGTCTCCTTGGTATAGCACCTTCCGAAAATGAGCACATCCGTCAATGACGACATCCGACGTATCAATTGGAATGGAATGAGATGTTTCCCGAAATCTTTTTGTGTACTCCCGACGGAGGAGGCGCAATCTTGCGAGGACCGATGACTCATTTTATCTTTTACGCTTTGTTGTTTCAGTTTAACCCCAAATTATCTCTCGGATTCTTAATTAGGAGGATAAAGATCCATTTACCATATACTAAATCTTCATTAGGTTTTAAATAATTTGTGCTGGTTAATGGAGTTTGTGATATTATTTTATTTTTTTTTGTCTCGAAATTCATCGTTTGTTGTCGTGTCATATTCCGGGTTAATTACCCAAGTTTGAGGTGTCACAAAGAATATTTCAACTTGAAAATGTCTTAATTATTAACTATATATGTATTTGTTAAAAAAAAAGATTTTATGTGTAATACCATGAAATCGAATGATTTTTATCAATACACCGAAGAGACTTTGACAACTTGAGTGAGATGTGAAGTGATTTTAATCGTTTGCGGCTTTTGCACTTTGTCATGATTGAAATACAACATAATACACCTGAAATATCATTTTAAAATGCAATTTTCCTATCAAAATGTGCTGTTTACCCATCGGCGACATGCACAAATAAATTGGAGAATATTGTGAACATAAATTGATATAGAATATTGCCGGACCAGGTGTAGACGAACATGCTATTCAGTGTGTCGATCAAGTAGACGCAATCTTGAAAACAATTCTGAAATGACAAATTGGAAACGAACAAACATGAACTGATACCTGAATGAACATCTCGCGCGTCTTCCTTTTTCGCCTCTTCGATTCGGTGCTCGCGATTCCGAGAATTTCTTGCGCGAACAACAATTTGATGCCAATTATTATATTCATAGTGTTTGTAATGGCTGCAAGAACCATTATAAAGTACATCACAGCGTCTGCCAATATGTCCGAACATGGATCCAAACTGTCCCATGTTAAAATATCGAAGTTGTAAATATTGACACAATTATCTGGAAATTAATTAAATTTGAAAAAAATGTTCCAAAATGAAGAATGAATTACAAGGAATTCCAATTATTGACACAAAAAGCGATATTGACCAGCATGATAATAAGGCAATCTGACAAAAACTTAATTACTTTCTTAATTGGCAAAATAAACTAACCAAAGTACACACTCGACCATTATGAATATGAACTTGCATACTGAAAAATACCACGTAAAATCGATTACCCGCGATACATAATTGTGTTAAAGGTCCTTAAAATACAATTAGCTTATATTAATTTCCAACGCTTCCAAAAACCTTGAACATAAATTCCATAGGCAACCAGCTGGGTGACAATAATATTGAGAATTAGTGGTCCGTAGTTCAAATCGCTGAAAAAATGGTCTCACTTGCAAGTTTCTTTTTAAATATGAATCTAATTTACAGTAATGTAACGGGACCATTGAAGACAATATAGCAAAAAAGAATAATATTGTTGCTGAAAGTCTTCGATGAGCACAACACATAAAAACCGGGCAGTCGGCCAGGGTTTGACATGTATTGCAGATAGACCTTCGTATTTACATAAATTCCTACAGCAGAAGCCTAAAATGTGTAGCAATTAGGAACGTTTGAGTTGTTTTCATCGAAATTACCGTCATCATGAATATTCCGGCAACGATTGTCATCCATCGATCAGCGCTGCCTTCAGGACGCGAATCTTTATAATAAATCAGTTGGAGAGTACTGTTTGGAAGCGGCATCACTTTATCTGAAAACCTCATGGAAAGCATATCAAATGAAGGAAATACTGGGCATGTTTTTGTGCAAGTAGATAGAATTTATTGAATTACTCAAAACGCAAATAGCTAGAAAGTGTAAATATGGCTATATCTGAAATATTCCGACAAACAATTCGAAAAAGCTAAAATTTGGCATGTGGAATTTTTGGAATTTTCAGATTTTCAAAACTAAATGAAAATAAATATTATTTTATTGTCTCTATTTAAATTTATTCAAGAATTTATCAAAAAAAAAACGACAACAATGAGAAAAAAATATTAACAACAAACGCACGTGATCGTAAATATGCTGATATAGTCAACGCCAGAGCGTTACCACTAATTGGCCAATTTCGACAACGCCTACTTGACGAGAAATTGGATTTGTCAGAAACAAAGTTTACTTTTTGAACCCAACATGCGTAATACTTTATTCCAATAATAGAATAGAGAGAATAAGGTAATGCAAATTGGAGGTTAATTAATACAAATGCAGAAAATACAAAGTCTTCATACATCCATCACCGTCGCCCGCACATCGTGTGAATAAAATACAAAAAAATTGGCAGGAAACTCGATATTCAATTGTGTTGATTTTGGTAGTGTCAGTTGGTTGTTTTTTGTTTTGCTTTGCTTTGTTTCGATTGAGTGGAGAAGAGCAAACGGCACGATCAGCTCCATCCTTTGACGATATCAAAGTCTTCGGGTATATTGAATAATTCGTCGAGAATCGGATGATCCGAGATTTGCAATAATCGCAGCGCCGATTTTGTCTCGTTCAAATCAGGAAGAGCCTGAAAACAATGCAAATAGCCAAACATTTCATTTTCTTTTCGAATTCAACCTGCCACTTTCGAGCTCGTAAATCAAATCGTTCGTTTTCTTTTGTGGTTGCTTGACCATCGAACCCTCCAGCGGCGTAAATATAATTTTCAGAGTAGATCATTCCGAAATTAGACCTGAAAGTAGGCAAAAATAAATGACACTATTCGTCAGGAGTTCAATATAATCCAATAAATGGTAATTCGAATTGCATTATATACGATGCATGTACTTAACATTAAAAATAATATTTTTCCGCGTAAAAACCCCGAAAATTGGTTTACTCTTAGATTAGCATAAATTTTCAAACATTTTCCAGATCAAATATTGCCGAAGTCAAACGAATTAAAGAAATTAAAAAAAATGATGGCTATGTGCCAATTCGTCTCGGTGTAGTGAGAAGCACGCGGAACTGCGTACATTGCATTATATCATACGCGCATTTAATATTCCGTTAACGATAAGTTAAATCTACACTATTTTCGCGAATTTCAACGCCCCGCCTCCCTTCAGTTGTTTGACGCCGACAATAGTTGAAGCCTCTAAGCTCCACGCATATTTCATAACTCAATAATAGCACCAACCTTCCGCATTGCATCAATGGCAGAGCATGCCAGATCCCTTCACGAATATCAAACAATTCGGCTGAATCGAGTCGCTTGTGCCCATTGAATCCGCCAGCGACAATGCACACATTATCCATGAACGCTGCCGACGAGCACCCGGTCCGGCGGACCCTCATCTGCCGTCCCGCTGTCAACCAACAATCGGCGATCGGATCGTAAATTTCGCATGACGAATGAACACTCCTTCCGTCAAATCCGCCGGAGGCGATGATCCGTCCGCCAACCGTCGAAATGGCTCCATCGGATCGTGGCAACGTCATCATGCCGCATTCTGTCCAGACATCTTCGAGATAATCGTAGCATTCGACCGAACGCAATCTCGATGTTCCGTTCATTCTGAATTAACAAATTCGGATATTAAGCGAACGTTTCACCAGCTACCCTCCACACGCGTAGATCATTTTTCTACCGTTCGAATCGATCAATGATGCGCCGGCGAGATAGCTCCGTTTATCGTGCATGTTTTTTCCAAGTTTGCCTTCCTATTAATCATTAATTATCACATATCAACTTTTAAGTTTTTTTGTGTGCCTTGGTAATCAAATCAAAAATTAGTGTGGTTTGGTAGTAATCGTGTCCACTGAACCCTCCGAACACAATCAGTTTGTTGTCGACAATTTCATTCGCGTGATAGGCTCGCTTCAAGCTAGGCCTAGACCGAAAAAAAAACAAATTATTGATTGGTAGCTCGCTGAGAGTGTCTCACACTTGATAGTTGAACTTGCACGGTTGCCATCTTTCACTTCTAGTGTTGAATACTTCGACCAATTGAGATACGCCTCTTTGACACCAGCCCCCTTTAAAATAATATTTGAAAGTATTTGGTGATTTCTAAGAACAGGAAAATTTATGAAAATCAAAGAATTGCAGACTCCGGAAATCGTCGCTTAGAAACGACGAAGAAATTCGGTGAAACGGCGGTGAAAACAAATGTCTTCGTCTCTTTAAATCACATACTCTCTCAAATACCGTTTCACCTGCGTTTCAATGTCGTTCTGCAGCAACACATTTTGCCGAGCCAGAATATTTTTTTCAAAATCAGAAAATTTGAAATTTCCAACCCCTTCTTCCGTTTTTTATGTCAGACAATTTTTTTGAAATTTGTTTTTTATTCATAATTTTCTTTAATTCCCTCGAAATTGTCACTTTTATATTGATATTCAGCATTTGAAATTACATTTTGTTCGTAATTATACGCAATATATTATTTTATTGATTTAATTCTACTTAATTTAATTAATCCATCACGTGTGGCCGTGGCCGACCCAAAATTTCAAGACAATTTTTCTAGGCCACGCCAATGCTGTGGCGAGCCGTCATATTTTTTTTCAAATACTCACCAAAACAGACAATTCCTGATGAGGGTTGCCGATTCCGAATCACTTCATGTCTTGTGCCATCGGGCAGAGGTCTTCTCGCGAAATTTTTCTCGGCAAATTGTCGCATATTCCTCGATTTTTCATACGTTTTCGATTTGACCCATTTCTCAATTAATTGGCGTTCATCGACACTTTTCAACGATAAATTTTTGTCGCAAAGCAACGCGATGAGCTCATCCTCAGAGAAATTCAAAAATTCTCCAGATGAGTATATCGATTGGAATTCGACCAATATCCGGCGCCAAATTCGTATTGATAATGGAATATAATACAATAAGGAATGATGGAAGAGTTTGACGATATCTATAGAATACATAACAATTTCTACGAACTGATATAAGCAAACGTTACTTGAATAATGGAGATGATCACAAATAATATCCGAGATGAAGTCCAGCATCAAATCCATTTGGAGATAGGCGGCGGGCTCGAGAAGCTTAACAAAACGTCCTAGTGAAATATACGGATGATAGTACTAACGTCAATCGCTTTTTGAAGCGAAATTTCGGGTTTGATTCCATTCTCTAAAGCACGCGGAATTGTCAACAAAATGTGAAGATTTGTTGCAGATATAAGTCGAATCCTGGATTTTTCGACAAATTATTTATCAAATAATTTTAACGGAGATTTTATAAATCCAAATAACTCATTTTTTTAAATATTATTTTTCTTGTTTAATAAAATATGAGAATTTACCGATGTACCGGTGCTCTTGAATCGCGAAAATTTGAAGAGAATAAACACCGAAAATAATTCGAATAATAGCATAACCGATTTCGTTCAACTATCATCTGGATGTTAGTAACTCAATTTTCCAGCTTTTGGATATTTTCAACCTCTTCGCCGTCACTTAATTGAAGCCGAATTGTTTCGGTCAGATTAAATGTTTCGTATTCCATGTCACACGATTTTCCAGGCGAAATTGAGTAGTATGTCGTAAAACTCTGATCGATTGCTGTTTTTGGCGGCGGACTTGACGCCGGATCAGAAACAGGATAATCGATCGGATCCATTCTGAATATTATGCCATTCCGAAACTTTAAACCTTAACATTTTCGAAATGCTCACCGATGGGATATATGAGGGTGGTTAGCAAGCGAGTCGAAGACAAAATGATGTAATGCTCATTCGTATATTTCATTTTAACCATTGCTGATAACATCTAATAATTTTATTTTCAAAATAAGAAATGGAGATATTGGCTACGTTGCCTTAAATGTGTCCATATATATTTTAATCAACAAAATTTTTGAAATCCCTCCAAAAAGCGACAAGACTTGAAGATGTGCCATGCGAAGGACACTGGCGTTTTCTTCGTGCTGCTGGCGCATTTCAAAGTATTTCAATTTTTCGTATTTTTTTCCACATATTTTTTAAATACATATTTCTCTAATTTCGCAACCTAGATGACCGGCGAAGATAAAATCAAAAAGAAGAAAAAATCAGTTCAGTTCAATGTTGAAGAATCAAACTCAACTAAAACTGAAGATGAAGAGCCGAAGAAAAAGAAGGTATTTCACTTAAAAATTGCTTTGCACCATTACCTTCAACAATTACAGGGAAAGAAAATTATTGTTAGTGAAGATCCAAATGTTTCGGAAAAAAACAGGAAGAGAAAACGAAAAAATAAGAAAAGCGGGGCTGAGTATTTAAACAATAATTTTCGAAACGCAATATTTTTTTTAGAAAACGACAAAAGCTTATGGAGAATTTAGTAGGCCCACAAGTCGATAAACTGGAATATGAGTCTGAAAATAAAACCTTTGTGGATTTTGGTCTCGACGAACGTATTCTAAAGGTAATTTTATTTGTTTTTTGTTATTTTCTTTATTTGAATTTTAGAGTATTGGAGAGCTTGGATGGGAAAAACCAACTCAAGTTCAGGAATCAATAATTTCTTTGGCATTGGAAAATAAAAACATAATGGGAAGAGCCAGAACTGGAAGCGGAAAAACCGGTGCTTTCTTACTCCCCATTGTTCAAAAGCTTATATCCGAATCAATGGTAATGGACTTAATTTAACCTTCATTGAGCTATTCATCATTTCTTCAGGAAAATGATGGTTCTGTGGGTCCAAGTGCTATTGTGATTGCTCCAACTAAGGAGTTAATCACCCAAATCTATAAATTATTTCAAGTTCTCGTAAAGCCACTTCCATTCCTTCAAGCAATTAATCTGTGTGATATCAACGAAGAGGAGAATTCACTTTGGATGGAAGATCGCTCAAATTTCGTCGTTACTACCCCTGGAAAACTTTTAAAAATGATCGAACTCCGTCCAAATTACTGTTCGCTAGTGAAACACGTCGTAATGGACGAGGCAGACTTGCTATTATCGTTTGGATATGAGGAAGAAATGATGTAAGAGTTGTATCAATTTTTTATCGAGCAATTTTATTTCTAGTAAAATCCGAGCAAGTTTATCGTCAAATTATCAATGCATTTTAACATCGGCAACATTGAAAGACGATATGACAACGTTGAAGAAGCTATTTATGACAGGACCGGTGGTAACTATCAAGCTAACGGTAATTTTTCTCAAAATTACGTCTAAATGACACATTTTGCAGGAAGGAGACTTGCCGAATGCGGATCAACTGACCCAATATCAGTTGACTTGTAAAGACGATGAAGAGCGATTCGCCATTCTCGTCGCGTTGTTCAAGCTCAAACTGATCGTTGGAAGAACAATTGTGTTTGTGAATAGCATTGATCGTTGCTTCAAGTATGAAGATATCAATAATCACTTCCAAAAATTGCCATATTCAGGTTGATGTTGGTACTTCGCGTTTTCGGTCTGAAATCTTGTATTCTGAACTCGGCGATGCCTGCGAATTCAAGATGTCACATCATCAATCAATTCAATGACGGATCCTATCCGATTGTAATTGCTTCGGATGTTTCGGACGCCGACGGAACCAGATTGGCGAATTCGATGGAAGCTCAAACAGAAGGAGCTGATAAAGCAGAAGACGATTTGAAAAAGGTAATATTGTATTCATTCTAAGGTTTTATGTTTCCTTTTTTAGCCGAAAAAGAAAGGCAAACTTGACAAGGAATCGGGTGTTTCTCGCGGAATCGACTTCCATCACGTGAGCAATGTGATCAATTTTGATTTCCCTGAAACTACTGACGCTTATATTCATAGAGTTGGAAGGTGATTGTGGTTCTCTTTATTGTTCCATTCAATTGCATTTTTGGCATTGCAGAACTGCTCGTGGATTCAACAAAGGAACTGCATTGTCGTTCTGCACACCGAAAGAACGACCATTTTTGGATATTATTCAAAACGAGGTTAACGAACAAAGTATGTTGCATTATTGGATGTATTTTCCATTGATTTTTTTTTATTTCAGTGGGTAAAAAGGTGCTTCAACCATACGAATTTCGTATTAAAGAGCTCGACACATTCCTATTGAGAACTCGCGAAGCTCTGTTCAAATGCACCAAAGGGGTTATCAAGAAAGCGAGGCTGAAGGAGATTCGGCAAGAAGTAGAATCCAATGTTGAGAAAATTTATTAGAATTTTTACTAATTAAGATTATGCGATCTGCCAACTTACAAGCATTTTTTGCGAAGAACGAACGCGAGAAAATGCTGATGCAAACGGATTGCCATCCGGTCACATTGAAGCTCAATTCGCCAGCAATTGCTGATGTCACACCGTATATGGGTACGAAAAAATGGCATTTTGCAATGAAGCCATTCTACTAAATTAGCATTCGGACACTCATTACGTTTTCATTGCTTTTTTAATTTATAGCTAATTTTGGGCATCTTTTTGAAATTTTAATGACTTTTTAACCAGATATTTGATAATTTTGCGAATTCGAAATTAACCACTTTTATTAGCACCGTCACATTTGATTCGACTAAAGAGTAAAGAGATCTTTTGTTTCAGTTCCGGATGCTCTTCGTGGTATGGATTTCTCGAATCCATCTAGAAATCGACGTCATAAGCCTGGAGTCAAGCATCGTCAGAAGCTGAAGGAGAAGTTCAACAGAAAGAAGAAAGATCCGTTGACGACATTCAAAATTTAATTGTTACTGTTTTTGTTTCATTCATTTTTCTCGTTGTTGCGTTATTGTTAATTTCTTGATAGTTGGTTGTTATTTGAATAAATGCCAAAAGCATCTATTCTTGTGGGCCGAAAAAAGACGAATTCATTTGTCCAGTGGTCCCTCTCGGATTGCACCAAACTTTCAGAAATTTAATTTATGGCGCGCGCGGCTCGTCGCCGAGTTTTATTTTTGAGGGACCGCGCCCGGCACGATGACCGCCACTTTCACGCGTTCATCGCACGTTTTCATCATTCCTCATTAGATGGGCGGCTCGAAGGAAAAAATTCAAATTGTTGGTGGCGTTAATCTTCTATTCAAATGAGGTGGATTAACCGAATTTTCGACTATACTCCATCTCACGTCCAAGAGTTCATTCTTCTTATCCATATTTGGAGATCTCAATTCTAGACGCGAAAAGAAGGTCTAAACCTCCATCCAACAATTAATTTCTTGTCAAATATTAATTTTTGATGAGCTTGTCACAAATTTCGAAGCTCAAATTATTCGAGTTGGCCTTTTATTCAGCAAATTCCAAAACTCGTTTTTTCCCGCCATTTTGTTTCATTCAATCTGAAAATCCGCTTACTCATTGATTGAGTAGTTGAGGAATTGATGATTAGCGTTTGAATATACTCGTTGTACCTATTTTTGTTGGGATAAACATTGCCAAAAATGGACATGAACTACAGTAATTATTCAATGTCGTCAGACGCGTTGCGGTTCGCGTGGGCTTTCCCTTTTCAAAAAAAAATAGCAAAAAACACGAGCGTCTTGCATAATTGTGGACCGTCGCACTTTTTCGAGGCGGTAATTCAAATTCGATACCGTACTCTGGATAACCTGCGAATCAAACTCACCGTAATTGAGCGCAGGGTGCCATTTTTTGTAATATACACTTGAAAGGTCTTGCAGCGAAAAATTTTGGTAGCCCCAGTTTTTTGGGAAATATACAATAACAATTCGAAATAATGGATCCAAACTTTTTCACCAAAAAGCTCCATCGAAACAAATCGCCATTTGATTCCGAACTTTGGTTTCTCATAAATTGATCATATGCCCATTTTTGTCCATCCGTTTTTTTTTCAAACTAAATAGCCACCATTTTTCCGAAGCTCCCCCGCACTATTTAAAATTGCCGCCTGATTTTTGTCCTTTTATTTTTTTTATCGTTTTAAGAAATATCATTTCGTGATAAAAGAGATACGTACGTAGATTGATTGTGATTTATGTCTGCCGGAAATAGCGAGCAACATTTTGTTTTTTCTCTATTCTCGATTTTATCATCTGCCGCCTGTTTTTTTAAACTAATTGATCAATTTTTTATTAATTGTTTTGTCTCGAGAACCCGGTAGAATGTCGGCAGATATCGAATTTCAAACTGTGTTCAATAGATTTCAATGATATATAAAAAATTTTTTAATCGAAGAAAAATATTTAAAAATAGAATTTCAATTTGCATCCCTTTTTGAGCGGCATTTTCTTAATTTAACGCCCCTCATCAGAAGTACGCCATGAATAAATGAAGAAAGTGTTCTTTTTTATGCTCTTTCCGATTAAACTAAATTTTAAAGATATTTTCCCAAAATTTTTCGATGCAAAACTGCGTGCCTCTTTCATTACTATATAAAAAATGATTTCGAAATTCGAAAACTCTTCGAATATTATTAAAAAAAGAATAAGGAAAAAACAAAAACTAAATATGCTGCACATTACCGCAGGCTAATTTTTTAAACGATGACATTCATAGTCGCGATTTTCTTTTATTTCTACAAAGTTGTGACTTTTATTCTGATATTTGGTTTTTGAAACCGTAAACACACGCAATATATACCTATTTGTTTAGTTAAATCAAATTTACTTAATTAATCCATCAAGTGTGGCCGTGGCCGAACCAACTTTTTGAGGACAATTTTTCTAGGCCACACATAAATTGCAGCGAGCTGCGCTTTTTCTTCTCAATTTTTTTTTTGATTTTCGAGTATCAAAAAGATTGTGAATAAATTCAATTCAAAATTGAAATCAAAATAAATGAAATTATCGATTAAAAGCTCATAACGATAGGCGAATTTTACTCGACTATAAATTTGCACTGATTTCGCGAAATTGAATATAAAAAAACTCCCTTCAATCGTTTGACGACTACAATAAAAAACAAAAATAGCTAGAAAAAAAATAAGCGATTTATAATTTCACGCAATTTTTTCTACCATTTCTCCTCGCATTTTTTTTAATCGACAACTGACACATGTTCGACATTCCAACGTCGCCGATTCCTTGGTTTTTTTGTTGCTATCATTCGAGTTCGAAAATCCGCGGGTGAACGATTCTGACGAAGCCAATTGCAGGTTCGCTGAAACATTCGTTTTTAGCACATACGCAACTCGCTTTTCATTTCTTCTCTTCTTCTTCTTCTTCTTCTTATTTTTCTTCACCATTTTTTTCCATCGACTTTTGTTCTTTGAAGAATTGAGATTTTTATGTGATCAATGTGCTTTTATCTTAATGACATCGTCAGCTGTGAGGCTCGTCTCAAATCATTTTTAAATGGCAAGTTTCGACTCATTATTTTTTGAATTGAATGACTTCAGTAAGTGCTCGAAAAATTGCCGAAACTTCAATAAACTGAATATTTTCATAGGAATCGAGTTTCTGAACGCAAACTTCAAAAAATCGAAAATTGAACAAATTAGACTATTTCCGAAGAAAATGTCTAGCAGAATCGATTGCTACTTTCAAAAACTGCAAGCGTCTTCAAAAAAAAATAGAGAAAAATAGTGGAGAAGCACAATTTTAACGCCAAGCCCAAAAATCACAATTTATTTTCGGTGAGTTTGATTCGCAGGTTATCCAGAGTACGGTAACCGAATTGCCACTGTTTAAATCGAAATTTGAACTGCCGCCCAAATAAATGTTCAATTCGGCAATATTTTTGAGGCAACCATCGTCAAAATACGAGCGCCATGCAATTGTGGACCGTCGCACTTTTTCGAGGCGGTAATTCAAATTCGAATTTAAACTGTGGAATACCGTACTCTGTATAACCTGCGAATCAAACTCACCGTAAATCTGAGGAAGCGGCTCGTTTTTTTTTAATATATCGAAATTGATGATTTCTAATTACCCTAATCCAAAAGGCAGTGAACATATAGAAATAATAAAAACCGTTCGATTTACTATATGAATTTTTAAAGGCGCATCGAGTTTTGAAAGTTTTTTGATTGATAATTAGTAGTTAATTACCTACTAATTTTCCTCACCAAATAGATCTAACATGGGAATTTTTGCAGTAAGTTTTTTTTTAGAAAAACGTGCACCGCAACTTTCGGTCTCAGAGAAACACTTGAAAATTAAAAATATTTTCCAAAAATCACATAAATTATTGTTTTTTAAAATGATGCGTGCGGAACTATAAGCCCCGCCCATCGACGGCACCAGAAGCCAATGATGGGACCAACATGCATTCTACCCAATCATGGTTTTAACTATGGCGTAGGTCGCACCCATTATCATATTCTAATAGACTATTCTATGGCTTTAGGTGAAGATAATTCTAAATAGAAAAAAATCGAATTCACTTTTCAAAAAAATTTTAATTTTTGCCTAGCTGATGCAAATATAGATTATAATTTTCTGGCTACACTTGATTTTTGGGAACACCCGACCATTGTGTGCTCTCGAGAAAAAATTTAAAAAATCGAGAAAATACCGAGAGAATTTCTCTCGAGAATGTCTTCGAGACTCCCGAGACTTTCCAAAAAGTACCGAGACTTGCAAGAATTTCTCTCGAGAGACCTTCACGGGAATTTTTTTAGTGAATAAAAAAATTATTTTTTGTCCTTTAAGTTCGTTTCAATACTAACAAATGCTAACAAGGGAGGTCTTTTTGCTGTCCGTCTTAAAAGTTGTCAATTTTTGCATACAGATTCTTTAGAAAATTTCCAATCGAATGAACTAAGTTCCTCCCTACCTGCGAAAACTTCTAGTACGCAAAATTCACGTGGGTGCGGCTAAAACTTTGATGGTCCATAACTCGATAACTAGAAGTTTTCGCAGGTAGGGACCTAGTTCATTCGATTGGAAATTTTCTAAAAAAAATCTGTATGCAAAAAATTGACAACTTTTAAAACGGACAGCAAAAAGACCTCCCTTGTAAGTTAAAAGTGATTGATATGCCACCCAAACTAAATACTCACATTACGCATCAGATAAAGAAAGAATTTAAACGAATGAAGATATTTCCTACATATTTGTGAATATTTTCGAAACTAAAAAAAAATAACTGTTTCGCTTTAACCGCGACGCATACGCGTCGCGTTTCGGTTGTTAATCGCGGTCGGCTAAACACGCCAACTTGAAATTTTGGTCTTGGTGAAACATATGGCACTAAAACCTTATGGTACGAAAACCTTAGACATAACTTTAATCGCAAACAATCGTATGCAAAAAAACGATTTATTTATGTATTAATCCCCTTTTTATACGGGCGAACATTTTCAAAATATGTTGACTATGCTAGTTTTCAAAACCCTACTAGTTATCAATTTAACTACTGAATTTCATCAATAAAAAAAATCCCGAGAAAGTCTCGGGAGTTCGGAAAAATTCCCGAAAAAGTCTCGAGACTCTTGGTTCCTGTAGGCGCGGCTACCCGTATAGTACCGAGACTAATAATTTCGAAAATTTCTCGGTGCTTCCGGGAGTCTCGAGAATTTTGTTTCTGAGTAGTTTAGGGAATTCTCGGGAAATTCTCTCGAGAGAGAGCACACACTGCACCCGACCCACACCAAAAATTTTCAAAAATTATTAAAAAGATGAATTCGATTTTTTTTTCCGCTTAAATTAGAAGTAGCAAATAAAAAGGAGGCCAATTCGAAAACAGTCAAAACGAATCATTCTTGTAGTTTTTTGTTTTTTCGGAAATCTCAAAACGCATTCAATTTTATAAAGAAAAGTTCAGCATCCACTCAATTGATTTATGA